CAGGACTCAGGGAGCCCCCAACTATCTCCCCACCTAGCACAAAGCTGGGCAGGAAACCAGAGACATCTGCTCACTTCAACCCTAAATCTGCACCCAATCCTGCCCAGCCCAGCTGGCCCTGAGTGGAGAGGACGCGGCCACCTCCTCCAGCAGGCCTGGGAAAGTCGGCACCACCAGAAGGTTGTGGGCCCATCCTGGCCCAGCCCCAGGCAGGCAGCAGGTTTGAAACAAGATACAAGCCCTCAGTCTGGGAGCTGAAACACAGCCTGGGGCGATCTGGCCCGCCCTGCCACCAGTCCCCACCATCAAGTGACTTCAGCACCTAGGGGAGGCAGCTGGCCTTGAACACCAGCACCCACCGCACAGCGGCTGCCCCTCCCCGGGGACCAAGCCTGGCTGCTCCTGCCCTGGAACAGCCTTCCCGGTCACACTGTTCCCCGTGCAAGCTGTCTGAGTGCCACAGCGAGAAGAACAAGGTCACCAGTCCCTCTGCAAAGAGCTAGGAGAGGAGAGACGGAGGAGGCAGAGGAGAGGGGGCCGTAGTGGGAGGGAGGAGAGAAAAAGGGAGAGAGGTGGGGGAGGAGCAGAGACCTGGAGGAGAAAGGTTGAGAGGAGAGACCCAGGGACAGGGTGAGGAGGGGAGGGGGCAGGGGAGGAGGAAGAGAAGAGATGCGGAGAGAGAGAGAGAGAAAGGGGGATAGAGGGAGCTAGAGACAGAGTTAAAAGACTTAGATGGGGAAAACAGAGAAGGGAAAGCACACACAGAGAAATAGACGAGATGTGGACACAGAGATAAAGAGACAGAGAGAAAGGGGAAGGAAGACATGGCAAGAGAAACAGACATAGCCACCCATGCACGCACGCATGCACACACACAGAGAGAGAGAGAAAGAGAGAGAGAGAAATAGAAACCTAGAAAAATGCAGGAGGCTCAGAGCTGGGGGCTTGGGCAGAGCAGACCCAGAGGGACAGAGATGGGGAACGGTGGAGAGTGGGCACAGGTAAGACAGCAGCAGTCCGGGGCAGGGCCTCGGCCTCCCTGGGCTTCCTCCTTGGACCCAGGCTGGATGAGTGGAGCCCAGGACGGGCTGTTCCCCTCTCAGTGTTCCATCTCTGCAGAAAGAGAGGCCTCCTTGGCCACATGAACCCCTATTGCTGCGGGAAGGCCATGTTGGCTACCAGGGGCTGGGCCCTGCCACCTGGCCTAGCCAGCCTCACATCCTCACTCCCCCACGGTCTGTAGTCAGGCCCCAGCATTCCTGGGCTCTGGTTTTGCAATTCACTAGGATAACGCGGCCCTTCCATCGGTGAATCATGAACTATAAATCACTGTGCCAGCGCTTGAGCTGCTCCCGCCCGCTGCCCCACAATCGTGATTCACCTCAGGGTGGCGGCGATGGGGCTCAGAGCCCAGGAGAGGATGCTCAGGCCTCAACCCAGCCTCCAGGCTCAAAAGCCAATCTCAGGGGCCAGGTTCCGGGAGGTAGGGGCTCGGCCCTCCCTTGCCAAAGCTCAGGCATGTGGAGTCTCATGGGGGTGGGTGTGGAGCAGCTAGCATTCCAAAAGCCTACGCCTGGGCCTGCATCCCCCTGTGTCAGAATACAGAGAAGCTTCCAGAAAGAGGATGGCACTCTCCATTAAACAAGAAGGCAATCCCACTACTCCAAACAGTCATGCACATCCCTCATCTCCAGCCGGCCACAAGGCTGAGCACCAGTGCCGTGGATGCCAAGGTGGGCCAGAGTGAAGGCGGCCACATGCAGCGTGGGTCTGAGTCCACAGACGTCCCGTGGCCAGCACTTTCAATCAAGGACTTTTATATTCCACTTTATAACCATCCAAGTTTCAGAAACGCAGCCATCGAAATGACACACAAACTGCTTTGGTATAGGGCACATGGTGTGGGGGTGACAGGGCAGAGAAGGGCCGGCACAGGTCCAGGCCTGGTCCAAGCGCTTCAGACAGGGCAGGTGTCCTTGGGATGACACGGTGGCATTGGCGTCTTGCTGCCAGGCTGTGGTTAAGCATTCGGGTGGCCACAGCATCTATAAAGCGTGGCTTTGCAAACATGCAGATGCACAGGCTGCCTCCTCAGCTGGACTGGCCGGACATCCCTTCTGGAAGGGGCTGGCTGCGCTCGGCTGTCAGGCCCGCTGACAATAACTCAGCTCAGAGCTGCCTCATCCAAGTTGGGCCCTGGCCAGGGAGGCCACTGCCCATCCCAAACACCTGGGAAGGGCTGTTCCAGCTCGAGTGTACCCCCATGGGTGGTCCGGGCTGTCGGGAAGCCCACCTTGGGCTTGACGACCCCTTCAGCCACCCTGCTCCCTGCTCGGGGGCTGACCCCCAGCACCGAGGTTCTCAGCAGGGTCCTAGACCAGTGCCTGGGAGCTCCTTGGAAATGCAGTCTTGGGTCTCAGCCCTGTTGTGGGGTGAGGGGTGCAGCCCAGCGACTGGCTTTCCCCAGCCCTTCCGGTGATTCCAACATGCACTCACATCTGAGGACTCGGACTGGGACATGTCCCCTCACAAGGCAGACCTTGGCCTCAGTGGGGGGGACTCCAGGAGGGCACAGCCCCAGGATGCTGGCTACAGCCATCCCAGTGTGGTCAGTGGTGTCTGAGGGAGTCGGAAACCTCAACGCTGGGGAAAGTGCACGGCCCAGTGTCCCTGGAGTCACTTCTCACCCTAGCCCACAGGCTTGCCCTCCCTCGGGATCCCACCACAGCCTCCACTTCAATCCCCCCTTGACAAATGGCGAAAGGAGGGGCACCCATGTCCTTGGTCCTGAGCCATGCACCCCCAACTTGGGAAATCCACAGGCGGCACGTGGGCGCTGTGGAGCCTGGGAGGGGCAGTCGTGCCCACTCCCCGACACCTCGGAAGTCCCACCCTGTGTCCACCTCTGCAGTGTGGAATCAGGGAAGTCTGGGGTGTTGAGACGGGCGGGGCACGGCTGATCCCTTTACCCTATTTTCTGAAGGATTAAGGTTGGATTCGCATCTGAAGGTAGAGTCTGACAACTCTGGCATACAGAAGGCACTGAATAAAGGCCCCCAGATGAACATGCATATACTGTACATCCGATGGACACCTCTTGGGGGGTCTGTGGGGCGAGCAAGCTTGGGGACATGAAGCGGGAAGACCCCTGCAAGCGGCATCTGTCCTGATGACATGAGAGCAGCCACTCGTCGCTGTCTTCAGCAGAGATGTGGCCTGGAGCCACGGGAACCACGCCAGGACCACAAGCACCACAGCCTCTCTGCGGCCACCCACAGCAGCCTCCACAGCCACCCAGGAGACAGGGGCTGTGCACCGGGAGTGGGGGTGCTGAGGGAGCGCAAGAGACACGGAGTGGGAGACGAAATGGAGAGGAGAGGCAAGGAGGGAGAGAGGGAGATGAGGAAGAGCCCTCAGCAACTCCCCAAAGACATATATGGTAACGGCAGAGGTGCTGAAAGAGAAAGAGACAGGGACCAGCTGCCGTCCCCAGAAGCTGAAGGACACATGGCAGGGGAAGAGACGCAGGTGGTGGCAAGGGGTACTGAGCCCCGTCTCGCCCCAGGACTCCCACCCACCCCATATCAGAGGGTGTCTCCGCAGCACAGATCGAGCCTAGCTCACCTGGGGTCCCCACATCCAGCATCTGACTCCCCACTGACATGGAGCCTCATCATGAGCCCCTCTGCCGCGCTGCCTTTGCAGGGGCCCTGCACAGGCCATGGGAGAGCCCTGTCCTACCTGGCGGATCAGGGCTGGCTTCCAGAAGGCTGGCTTTATGGCCAGTGTGCTGCCAAGGGGACACTTGGGCCTCCCTCCAGCTCCCTGGGCCGCATGTGACAGACTAGAACCCTCAGTCTGCCACTCAGCAGGCGACTCGGAAGCTTCCTCACCTCCCTGTGCCTCTGTCTCCTCATCTGGCCAGTGGGGATAATTACACACCTCTCGCCAACACTGGTGAGCTTGAAATCATCACGGTGTGTGGCGATAGCACTGCGTGACTGTTGGCCGGCACCATCACTGTCGCCATCGCCATCACCATCATCGCCATCGCCACCACGGCGGCCAGCAGCACCTGTCCCCATCACACAGCAGGGCCAGTGCCCTTGGAATTTTGACAGGGCTCCCATGTCTCACTGGACTCCCAGGTCCCACCCCCCACTCAGCCACCAAGGGGTCCAATGCATATTGGCTGAGATAAACTAAGTCTTCTTCTAAAACTAGAGGGCCCAGGAAGGCAGGGAGAACCCGACCTGCTGCCCTCCAGAGAAACACCACAAAGAAGCGAGCTCAAGCTTCCCCCGACAGAAGACATCGGGGAAGAGGCAGGCGGCATCCCCTGGCAGCGGGCACCCTACCCTTGAGGGTGCGTGGGCTCACTGGCTGGGAAGACCTGGGTTCTCCATCTTCCCGTGGTGCCTGGGGAGGGGGCCTGTGTCACAGTAGGGGGAAGGGGCTGTGTCTGCTCACCCACAAACCTATGAGGGAGAGAGAAGCATGGACAAGTATCCTAGGGCAGTTGTGAGGAGACTGGGGCTGGGCAGGAGCTCGTGTGCTCCATAGCCTGGGATTCCCATCTGATCACAAGGCCTGAGCTGCCAGGGTATGTCAGAAAGAAGGACCGGCCCACAGAGGTGCCTGGGTGCCAGTGGTATCTAAAGCACAGGGCAGTGGCTCCCCAGCCCACAGTCAGTCACTAAGAGTCCCGGACACCTGTCCCAGCCTGCAGGTGCCAGCCACGCGGAGGCAGTGGGGTAGTGGGTGGGGAGTGGTCTCGGCTCACCTCCCCGCCCTCCTTAAGGAGCTGCAGGTTCTGTGTGATCACAGCTTTGGTGCACTCAGAGCCCACCACCGCCTGCCCCTTCCCGTCCATCACCCTGCCGCACCCTCATCTGGAGCAGACTGATCAGCAGTGTCAGTGGCTCCACAGACCCAACCACACACAGAGACGCTCAGCTGGCGGCAGCCACTGCATCTCCACTTAACAGGACAGGCTGAGCCTGAGGCTGCCGTTGATTTTGCTTGCTGCCATGGGCAGAGAGGACTCTCAGCCCCAGAGTTAGCACTTGGGAACCCTTGTTTATCCCGTGGTGGTGAACCGGGCCTGTGGGGGGTGGCAGGGCAGTGGATCTACCTGGCACAGAAGCTGTTCCAGGATATGAGTGTAACTCTCCCTCCCTGGCAGGGCCCAGGCCCTGCCACCACCTCCTTAGCAAACGCAGCTGATCCGAGGAAGGGGCGAGTCCTGGAGACAGACAGGAACCTCCTGCCCAGCTTGCTTTCTGCCATCCTTCTGAGAGGCAGCGCAGACAAGCAACATTTCCCCATCCTGGGAGCCCCTGCCTGGAACAGCAGCTTCAGCAGGGGGTAAAAACTCACCAGCAAAGCCCCACCAACTCCCAGGCACCGCAGATACCACGGCTAAGCCAGGATATCTCCAGTGTAAAGAGGGGCATGTTTCCTCCCTGCTACGGAACATTCTAGGGCTTCCCTGGTGCCAGCCTGGCCCAAGGCATATAATGCCCTCCTTCCCCGGTCTCACTGTAGTCTAACCCAGAGGTCTTCTACTAGGGGCTGGAGGTGATTTCAACAGCAAGTAACAGTTGCGTGGCATATACAGTGTTGAGTTGTTTTTTTCCTTTTTTAAAAATGTGACCTAAGATTTAAAATCAGGTGGTTTCACATAAAACTAGATTTCCAGCTCATCATCAAAGATCAGAACACCTGGCAATTCAGGGCCACTGGCCAAGCGTCAGCTGGAGCTGAGAGGGGGCCCAAGCTCTGTAGTGAGCCACAGGCCTCACCACTCCCTACTCCCTCCCCAGACACTGAAGTCAAGTGTGAGCTGTTATTTATTGAGTTTGCACTTCTATTTTTCACAGGGTAAAAAAAATCTCTATTTACCCATCAAAAGTGAGCAAAAGAAAGAGGGTCACATAATTTTCTCCATTTCTTTGTTCGTTTAAGGTCCTGGGAGGTACCGGGACCCCCTTGAATCCAAAGACTCAGGCTCCCGGCTGTTCCTGAAGACACGCACTGTCTCTCATGCTCCCTGCCTTTGTACTCGAGGGCCCCGTCCCTGTCCGCCTGTGGGGCTGCTCCGCAACCTCATCTTTGGGGCCCTTTATTCTACGGAGTCTTCGAGGATGTGCCCCCAACGCCGCCTCCCAGGGAGCCCCATGGCATAGGGAGACCCTGCGGCACAGATCCATGGCACAGGGAGACCCCGCGGCACAGGGAGACCCCGCGGCACAGGGAAACCCCGTGGCACAGGGAGACCCCGCGACACAGGGAGACCCGTGGCACAGATAGGTCCGTGGCACAGGGAGACCCCGCGGCACAGATAGACCCGCGGCACAGATAGGTCCGTGGCACAGGGAGACCCGTGGCACGGAGAACAAGCCGGACACTCGCTCCACGGACAGCAAGCTGGACACTCACTCCACAGACAGCAAGCTGGACACTCACTCCTGAGACCAAGTTGGACATTCATTCCACGGAGAGCAAGCCGGACACTCACTCTGCTGAGAGCAAGCCAGACACTCAGTCACTCCATGGACAGCAAGCCGGACACTCATTCCACTGGACTCTCACTCTACCAGAGTACAGGCCAGGCCTCTACAACAGGATACGATGGGGAACGACACCCCCCCACCCTTCTTAGATTACCATGGTCTCCCCACCTCCCTCTGTGCAAATGTGGATCTCACACAAGCAGAGGGGATGGGCCTCTGCTCTTCAGAGCCCCCAGCCCAGCTACCAGGAAGGGCTCCCACCACAAGCCCAGCCTCAATGCCCCCACACAGGTCGTGGGAGGGGAACTGGGAAGGCCAGCAAGAGAATGAGCATACAGTAGGTGCTCAACAGACGCCTGATGATATTTTCCAAATACCTCTTGAGGCTGTTAGCCACTCTTCCTTTGCCACAATCCCCACCGCTCCCTGCTGCCTCTCATACCTCAGCACCTATATGCTCTCGGCCTGGCACTTACTTTTTTGCCTCTCAGTCTAGAAAATTCCTGAATGCACTTCAATTTCAAAAACACCATAGCAGCTCGGCGCAGTGGCTCATGCCTATAATCTCAGCATTTTGGGAGGCCGAGGCAGGTGGATCATCTGAGGTCAGGAGTTCAAGACCAGCCTGGGCAACACAGTGAAACCCCGTCTCTACTATAAACACAAAAAATTAGCAGGATGCAGTGGCATGCACCTGTAATTCCACCTACTTGGGAGGCTGAGGCATGAGAATCGCTTGAACCCAGGAGGCGGAGGTTGCAGTGAGCTGGGATCACGCCACTGTACTCTGGTCTGGGTGACAGTGTGAGACTCCGTCTCAAAAAAAAAAAAAAAAACCACAAAAAAACAAAAATAAAACGTAGCTACATCTTTGGAATACATGCTCTGTGCCACTTGGCCTTGGTTTTACACATCCGTTAGAAGGGCAAGCAGACTGGTCAACTCTGGCTATAGAAAACTAGACAAGAAAACCCTCGCCACAAGCCAAAGGCAGCCACCCTTCCACGATCCCTGCGGATAAGGACCAAGCTCAGCCCCAGGCATCGTGGCCGGACGTTCGGAATGCGGCGAGGTGTGGCTCATGCTCCTGACAACAGCCTCCTTTCCCTCATGGGACTTTTCTTAGGCTGTAGGAAAGCGGCTGTCTCACAGCAGACACTGGGACCCCGCCCCCAGCCCGTGATGGCTGGTCTCAATGCCTTATGGGTCTCGACCTCTGGCAGCCTGGGAAAGGGAAGGCGGGCAGCTCTGGGGAGGGGCTAGAGGATGCTAGTACCCGCCTAGGAAAACCTCAGGGTCCCCTTATCCCAGCTCGTGCTATTCTTGGCCTCTGTCACTCTCGCCCGGCTCCCCCAGCCACTGAGGCCCCCAGGAAGGAAATGCCTCTACTGACTCCAATCCAGCAGCCACCAAAGTGCCCACTGCCTCCAACCGCCTCCTCCGTGTGGTGCTCCCAGCATCTGCTCTGAGACGATGCTTCAAGAGCCCCGACGCAAAACAAATTCTCCCAAACACTGAGCGCCCAGGATCCCCCTTTCAAAAGGTGTGCCACTGAGCCTCTCATCTCTACCATTATTTACTGGATATTTTTTCAAACCAACTCCTTTCCTCTAGCTCGGAGGAAAAAGCAAACTTTTTCTATGAAGGACCAGATAGTAAACATTTGAGACCCTGTAGGCCATACACTTTTGGTCACAACTATGCAACTCCACCAGAGCAGCAAGGATGCTGCCATAGTCATATGTAAACAAACAGACATGTCTGTGTTCCAATAAAACTTTATGCACAAGAACAGACAGTGGGCCGGATTAGCCCCAGAGTCCCAGTCTGCCAGCCCCTGCTGGGATTAGCGTAAATAATCTTTCAGTCTCATTCCAAGCAACGGCGTCTGAAAAAACGGCGAGCTGAAGTACTGGCTATTTTTTCTTTCAAGTGTGCATTAAGATAAACACACACAACCATTAACATTTTAAACACGTGAAGTTTGGGAACTACCCCGAGTCATCCTGGGAAGCCCTTACTTTTGGAATGTGGCCTTTGTACGCACAGAGATCACAGGTCACCCAATCAGGAGTCTAGGATTTTGCCGACTGAGGAGGCCCGTGGTTGTTTCCCCCCAGCTCTTTTCCTGGCTACTAGGGGAGGCTCAAGATAGCCCAGCAGGGTGAGCACCCCAGAGAGGGTCTCCCCTCACTTGCTGCCACCACAGAGGGGAGCCTACACTCACACTGCCAGTGGCCAAGCGACAACTCATGGAGACGGTTACTGCCAGCCATGCGGGGTGCTGGCCACCAAGCAAGTGGCTGCTCAGCATGCAGGGAGCCAGACCCCAAGGACAGCCACCCCCACCTTGCCTCTTACTTGGCTCTTGCCGCGGCGCCGATAGCTCCGTCTCACCAGACTCTTATAGTTCTCATTCTTCTTGGTCAGGTAGTAATAGAGGACGCACTCAGCCACCGTCTGTGGGACAGAGAAAGAGGACACTGAGCAGGGTACAGCTCAGGCATTCAGGGCAGGAGCCAGGAGCTCACATCCCGGGCTCATATCCTGCCTCCTCCACGTACCGGCTGGGTGACCTCGGGCAGATGACCTAACCTCTGTGTCTCAGTTTTCTCATCTGTAAAATGGGAATGCTAATTGTACATACTTCACAGAGTTATCACAAAGATCAGATCAGTTAACACGCAGGTAAAGTACTTGGGACGAGGCCTGGCCCAGAGTAAACATGATGGAAGTCTTTCCTGTTATCACAATCACTGCTGTTGCTATGGTTAATGACAGCGCTGATGTCGCTATATGTCACCCCCAGCCCTTATGGGAAACAAGGACTGCAGCCCACAGCTGGGCAAACTCAAAGCCTTCCCCAAACACAGGTCTGGGTTCTCCTTTCCCTGACTGCAGCCTTCTCTTCCCTGATATTCGGGGTCCTGAACAGCCTCTTCCAAGCCTTGCGCGTAGGGACCACCCCACGCCCCATATGCCTCTTTCTGGGTTTCTTTCTTTCTCTGCCTCGGTCTTTTCCATGTAGATTGGGTCTGAAAGCCAGAGCAATCAGCCCTCTATGAACCCCGGCCAAATGGGACCAGTAAAGGGGCAGCCTCAGAAAGTGATGCCACGATGCCCCCACCTGCGGGCATGGAGCCCAGTTCGCCAATGCCCGCAGCCGTTCTCCTTACAACGTAAAATGTTTCTGCGATGCTCTGGCCGGTGTCAAGCCAGGACCCCACCTCCAAGGGGCATTCTGTGAGGCCTCTGAGCTGGGCCTCAAACTTCACTGCCCTCAACAGAAAGCCCCCAGCTGGCAGCCTCCTGCCAAGTACAACCGCCAGGGGGGCTCCTAGGCAGCCCCAGGCTAAACCCGGCCCACAAACAGGACCCACACAGCAATTGAGAAAGACGTTTTATAATCAGATGCCAGTAATTGCAATTCAGGGGATGTGGGTGCCCGACTTCTCCTTTAACAATTCAGGAGAGCTCCTTCCTGTGCTCAGCAATGGCAGCCAGGCTCTGGACAGCAGCTGCCCCCGCGGGCGGGCACAGACTGGCTGGTCCACCTGGCTCCCAGCCAGACGTCAGCCTCACTCACTGTCAAGACCCGCCTGCCCCTGCCGGCCTCTCCGTCGGCAGCTCCTGCTCCAGACCCCTCTGGAAGCTCTGCTGAAGCCTCGTTCTGGGCTGCCTCTCAGCCAAAGAACACCGTGAAGTTTACTCCCCAGCACAAAGACTTCTAATCCCCTCGTCCCGAAGGAGGATTGCTCAATGGCCAGTTTCTGAAATGCCCTGCTTCCATCCCGGGGAGCCCTAACCTAGAGTCCGCCGTGCCGTCCGCTCCCTGAGGGAGACGCAGTCACTCAGAACATGGGCTATTTATAGGGCTTGTTTCTCCACACTGGTTTTTCAGGCATGGAGAGATTTTTCCCCACACTGCTCCGTCTCTCTCCTTCTACGGTTATCAGCTCACGAGGGGCAGGCGCTGGGAACAGCTGTCCTTTAAAATAAGTGCCTCATCCTCCTGGCCTCCCTCCTACAACCAGGAAGCCCAAGCAGGGTGTCCACCAAGCTGCGGTGGGCAGGCCCCCATCTCTGAGCAACGGGATTCAGGGAAATGCTGCTTAAGACACACGGATGGCAGCCTTTCTCCTCTGACCCCCAGGATGCTGGGGGAAGACCCAGGGGCCACGTCCAACACACAGCCTCATCCAGCCAACTTCTCCCACCTGCAGCCTCTCCAGGCACAGTCCAACCAGCCTTGTGGGTGCAAAACAACGGCTTTACCATTCTCTGGGGACACTGTGTCTACCAGCCAACTGGAGCTGCTCCAGGCCTGGGCTTGACACAAAGTGGGCTTTAGGCCTCAGTTCCACACAAAGGTTTGTCCAAAGAAGATGGGGACTTGTAGGTCACACATCTGGCTTGGCATTAGGGGTGTCAGAAAGCAGTCAGTGACCCTCAGAAGGACCTAGAAAAACTGGTCCTCCAGTCCCTCTGAGGCACGCCACTCCTGCCTGTGAAGACCTCACTGGGATGCCAGGCATGGCAGTGCTTCCAGAATCCATCCCCAGTATGCAAGGACGCTCCACACGGCCTTTGAGGAGCTGGCAGGAGACCCGGTCGGGCACGGGGGCTCTGGGAAGCCTGGCCGTGCAGTTCTCCCCGGGGTTCCCAGGGTTCCCAGGTGCTCAGCAACCTGAGGCTCCTCCTCCAAGGGCCCAAGCGGCCAGGGCGGGGCCTGCACTGATCTATCTCCCAGATGGAAGGAAGAGAGGGAGGGAAGGAGGGAGGAGGGGAGCATGGCCCCCGGAGGAAGGGGCCAAACAGGCTAGGGCCTCGTAGGCAGGGAGGGAGGGCCTCCACCCTGAGTCCACGCAGCTGCCCACGGAGGTGGAGACCGAAGGGGTATGGGGCGGGCAGCGACTCACCTTCCTCTCCAGGAATGATGCGATCAGGCCAAAGTTCTTGGGATGCTGCATGAACCTGTGGGACGAGAAGGGTGGGCGTGAGACCTGGCCGAGGAGGGCTTCCCTGCAGGGCGGCCGATCGGCTCCCAGGCGCCTGCCATCCCCACTGGCCCGGCCTGGCGGGCACCGCCCCACTCGGAGCAATTAAGCCCAGGGGGGTGTGGGAAGGGCTGCTGCGGCAGACGGGAGGGGTGGGGACCCAGGGGTAAGAGAGGGCGTTCCTTGGAGTGAGTCACTGGCTTTAGCGCCTTTGAAAATATATTTGTTTGTCCTGCTGGAGGCGGCTTCCAGGAAAAATGAGGACATGACATGCAGCTCTTTGGTGGGGTTCCCCCCCCTTTAAAATCCGCTTTTGTTTCTCTCTCCAGCTGGATCTGGGAAGCATGGCCTCACCCGGCCCACACAGGGTCTGCTTGGGAACATGGCAGGGACCCGCCAGCGGGGTCACGGCTCACCAGGCTGCTGGGCCTCCCCAGGAGAGGAGAGCTGGGAGCAGAGGCTCCGAGTGCCCATGGGGCAGCGGGAGGGGGTTGGCCAACCAAGGAGGCAGCAAGTATGGACTTAAGTCAGAGGCTGGTGGCGGGGCGCTGGCACTGTCCCAACTGGCTTCCTGCGTAGCCAGGAGAATTACTGGGAAACCACTGGGCCAGGCTGAAATGCGAGGGCCAAAGGAGCGGGAGCATGGTGGGGGCAGGGATGTGGGTCAAGGCCTGCTCCACCCCAGGGGTGCTGGGTGGAGTCCATGGCCCCAGGCCCAGGCGTCCCGGCGACGTGCCACAGCCGCACGGCCTTCGCGGGGAAAGCAGTGGCCGCCAGCGAGGCTGGACTGTGGGCTCCCACGGAGGGAGGCTGAGTGAGCACCGGTGCCCGACCTGCCTGGCCCTCCAGATGGCTGGGCAGGAGGCTAGCAGGCCCCGCGCCTGCTTCCCAGCCAGACACCCGAGGATCCTGAACAGTCTGTCTCTCCTCCCAGTGGAAGCAGCGCGGTGAGGAATGGCAGGCTTCCCTGGCCTGGGATCCCACCTCGGGCGGCTGGCAAGGCCGGAGCCATCCTAAAGCCCTTCTCTTCCAGGTAGGGAGAGTCCTTCCCACTCTGCTCCCTCTCCTTGTCCCAGTGACATTTCGTTCCTTGCAAACCCCTCCCACGGGGTTTCCCCAGGCACAGTGGGGGCTCCCGAGAGACCAGGAATCCAACTTGGGAATCTCCTAGGTCACCTGTTCCCCTCCCCCCGACCTCACTTGCACCCCCTGAAGACGTTTATTAGAAGTTTCCTATGCCCTGCACACCTCACAACAGCTGACTAAGGAAGGCCCTGTTGCTCTACCCATTTTACAGATAAGGAAATCGAGGTTCAGAGGGGGAATGGTCACATGGCCAGCACATGGTGGAGCCCCATGCTGTCAGCAGGTGATTTTCAAAGCCCCGAGTGCTATCAATTCCTCCGCACATGAGACCTCAAACCGAGCCCACAGTCCTGGAGGGATGCAGGCGGCCAAGCTGTGGCTCAACCAGGCCAGCAGACAGCAGCCCAGCCTGCGTCCCCCACCCTTCGGCTACTGAATTAACAGAGGGTGAAATTATCAGATCTGCAGAGCCACATGAGATCTTCCGAAAGGCTGGAGCCACAGAAAGCACCCCAGAACACCAGTTTTTGTATTTCAGAAAAAATACATACACTAAAACATCATGCCTACCAGAAGGAATTTGAGTATCGAACGCAACAGTAATTCAGTAATTCTTAACACCTGTGACTGTCCCACCATCACCTCCCTCGTTCAAAACTGTAAAAAGCACGCGACGGAGACTTCAGTTTGATGTAGAAAGATCATGCCTGCTATGGTGAGGCTGCAGGCACGAGCCACTAAGTAACCGAGTATTCCTGCTCAGGGACCAGGGCTGTTTCCTGCGGAGGACCACTGATCCTGCGCTGTGGGCACCCAAGGGCTCATTACCCCACCCCTCTATTTTTATGGACGTTTCAACATTTCCGTAATCAAAAGCTACTCTTAAAAAATGATTTCCACCAAAGACCCTCCTGGATAGCCACTGTGTCCTTGTCCTTTCCGAGTTCGGTATCTGCACGTGCTAGTCCGCCCGCCCCTGCTGGGAATCCAGAGTCACCCCATCCCTCAGGTCCTGCCTGGCACCTCTTTTGAGTCCACAACCGTGGACCAAAGCCCAGGGCACTGGGGAAGGAGTGTCATTGCTTTGGAGGAAGCTCTTGTCTGGAGGCAGGGTCTTCCCCAAGTCAGCTCAGTGGCCTGCTGGGTGAACGTCGGGCAGTGACAGAGTAAAGTCTCTTCCCTGCGTCCCCTCCTGGCCAAGCACTGAGACCTCCGTCCACACCTCAGTTTCCCACTCTCCTGCCTCCCAGAGGTCTGAGGTCCTGAGGAGGTGCTCTATGTCCTGGGCAGGGAACCCAGCGCTTTACGGGCAAGTGATTATAGCAGGCTTGTCCACCCCGCAGGCCACATGCGGCCCAGGATGGCTTTAAACGCGGCCCAATACACATTCGTACACTTTCTTAAAACGTTATGAGTTTTTTTGTGATTTTGTTTAGCTCATCAGCTATCATTAATGTTAGCGTGTTTTCTGTGTGGCACAAGACATTTCTTTTTCCAGTGTGGCCCGGGGAAGCCAAAAGATTAGACTCCCTGGAATTATAGCACGCTGTTCCCAAGGTGTGGGGTGGTTCAGCAGGGCCCACCATCTCCTCTGGGGACCCTGGGCCAGGAATGGAGGCCTCCTTCTGCCTGGATGTCACATCACAGATCCTCACTGTGGTGTCTGGCCCCCTCAGACACAGCTTTCGAGAGAACTCAACTCCCGTCTCTGCTCTGCACAGCCGTACTCCCTGGCCCCATTCGCAAACCCTTCCCCACACAGCCTCTCCATTCCGGCTGGGGGAGTCTGAACCCTGCCTCCGCAGTGTGCATGCTGTGTGGCCTTTGTGCACTGTCTGAACCTCTGTGAGCCTCCGTGTCATCACCTGTGTACTGGGGTGGGCCTGGCTGAGCTGTCATAAGGGACAGGAGGGGGAAATGCATGAAGCCGACAAGACACAGGCACAGTGATGGGATCATGAACCCACTCAGCCAGCAGCTACTGTCAAAGAGAAAACAAAATAGAAACCACCAAAAAGCCACTGGCCAGCCGCGGCCCTGCCGAAGGCTCAGGCCCAGCCTCTAAGTCCTTCCTGCCTTGTTCTTCCGACTCACAGCGCCCCGTCTTACGAACAGCTGCCCTTAAGCTTTGTACCAGGTTGAAGTGTGTCCTCGGAAAATTCATGGCCACCCAGAACCTCAGAACGTGGCCTTATTTGGAAACATGGTCTTTGCAGATGTAATTAAAGTAAGGCTGTATTGGGTTAGGCTAGACCCTAAATTCAGTGTGACTGGTGTCCTTATAAGAAGAGGAGAAGCGCAGAGACAAAGGTCATGTGGGGTCAGAGGCAGAGCGTGGAGGGATGCATCTAGAAGCCCTGGAAGGCCAAGGATGCTGGCAGCACCAGAAGCTGGGGAGAGGCCGGGACAGGCTCTCCCTTACGGACCCCAGAAAGAACCAAACCCACCGACACCAGGATTTGAACTTCCGGCCTCCAGAACCAGGAGAGAGTAAATCCCTGCGGCTTTAAGCACCCCCTGGCGTGTTCATTTGTGGCGGCTGCCCCAGAGACAGAGCAGGCCTCAACAGGATGGGTTTCCGGGACGGGGAGCGGGGCGGGAGGCCAGGCCAGGTGATGGAGGACTCACTTCTCCCGGAAGGTCTCCTTCTCCTGCTCGCTCCACATGTTCATGACCTGGCGGTCTTTGTACACCTTCATGGGGTCGGCCATGAGCCCGTTCATGTTGATGAACTTGATGCGCTGCTGGTCGGCGTCGTACAGCATGGGCGGGATCACGGCCAGCTGGCGCATCTGCTTCTCCAGGTTCTGCAGGGAAACGGAGGGCAGGGTCAGAGCACCCGGGGGCGAGGTGCTCCGGCCAGCGCAGGGGACCCAGGGAAGGCACAGAGGGGACCGATGTTCTGCGCCCGGGTAGGGAAAATGCAAAACCGACGAGAAGGAGAATGATGAGTTTAAAAATAAGAGCTCATGCTGGGGGAAGGGAGAATGTAAAGGCCTCCCCGACAGGTTTATGGTGGGCAGGACTGTAGATTCAATGCAGAGAGCAGCAGCTGCCTTCTCTGCAGTGGGAGGGGAACCATGAATCTTCCCTTTGGAAACGCAAGCGCCATAAAGCACTGCGGGAAGGATGCTCAGCCCAGCTGGGCCCAGGGAGCCCGGGAGACAGGACGGCCTTCCAGGTTCGGCAGTCAAGAGTGGGCCCTGGGGTCCAGCTGGCCCCACGGCATGCAGGCAGCCCAGGGGCGCAGAGAGGGTCGGCCGCCTCGCTGGTGGAGAGAAGCCTTTCCTTCCCCCACACCCCACGCCCCCTCCCAGCATCCCGCTCCTTCAAAGGGCCCACCTGGGATCTGGCCTACCCAGCCCTGCATGCGGCAGCAGTCAGGCGGCCGCTCCTCTAATGCACTGGGATGACTATTAAGAGGCTCTGAGCCGCCACTCAGCTGGGCTCACTTCCCCAAATCTCGCAGCCAGCCAATTACTGGCGATTAATTACCCATCTCCGGAGGCAAGCGAGGGCTCCGCGAAGCCAAGGTCAGCCAGTTCAAACGATCCAGCTGCCTGGCGGCCCACATCCAACCTCTTCACTCGAGGTGCAGGACTCTCAGCCAGGGGCCGGGTGCGAGGCACAGCTCTGACCCCGGGGTGGGACAGGGTTCCCCCAAGAGGCCGGTGTCTGTCTCCCAGAACTTTGGAGCTGTACCCCACACCCCGATACAGAACGCTGACCTTCCTCAGATGTCTCAGGGATGTAATAACAGCAGACCCCCAGCAGAGTCCTCCCTGGCAGGACCTCTGCTCCGCCCTCCCACAGCTGCCTTCCTGTCCTTCCCATGCCGGCCATGTGCTCTGACCGCAGGAAGCTCCCAGAAGGATGGGAAGTGCCTGTCCTCCGGCCCAGACCCTTCCCTCGCACACTCCCGGGGAACCTCAGGTCACCCCAAGCTGTCTGGGGAAGTTTCTGTCCCGAATTCCACTTCCACCCTTCACCCTGGACACAGCATCCTTGATGTCCCTGAGGATTCTGGTGACTGCATTCCCATGTGGCCAGTGCGTGTGTGTGTGTACATGCAACAATCAGCCCAGGTGCCACATCCTTGGCCATCAGGTAAAGAATGCAGAGGAGAGGGCCACCGGCCTCCTCCTTCCAGTGCAGACTAAACCCACGTCCAGCCTCTCTGCGGGACGTCCACAAGTGCAGAGCATCGGTGAGACGGGGGCTAAAACGGCCCAGCTCCGGTGCCCAGCCTTCGAGGGCCAGGCCCTGTGACTGTGCAACGGGATGGCTTTCTGAGCTCTGTTTTCTGTCAACTGGATGTTGTTGTAAACAAAAACGTACCACAAGAAGTTTTAAAATTAAAAATTATGTTTTAATGGCCAGATTCATCTTTGGATTGCCTGTTTCAGAATCATGTGGGTGGCTGGGTAAAAATTCGGATTCCTGGGCTCTGCCCCAGACCAGCTGAATTAGAATCTCTGGTGAGAAACTGCAACTTAAACCAGCCGCCCCCTCCCTGGGGCCCCTTCCATCTGTCTAATCTGAGCATCAGCATCTCAGGGCAGCACGTTCTGTTGTCCAACAGAGCGCTCTGCAGCCAGGGAGGTGTTCGCTGTCTGCCCCGCCCAGGAGGGGAGCCGCCAACCACAAGCGGCTGTCGAGCTCTTGAGATGTGTCAGATGCAACCGAGGAACTGAATTGCTAATTTTATCCCATTTTAATTAATTTTGATTTCAATAGCCATGCGTGGCTCTGCTGCGCTGAGCTGAAGGGCTATAATCTCCCATCTGGACAAAAGCTCTCCCCAGACAAAAGTCCCCAGAAGGAAGAAACGTGCCGTGGCTGCTTCATGTCTGCCGTGGTGTTGGGAGCAAGGGGTAGTGTCATCATGGATACCTGACCCACAGGACCCAGGAGGGACAGGCTGATGCCAACTTCCTCCCCAGGAGAAAAGGTTGCCCCTCTGCTTCCTGGCCATCTGTGGGCCCCCAGGACGGCAACCAGGGTCACCTCAGCTGACCCCAGGGTGGTACCCCAAAGAGGCCTGAGGGGAAACCAGCCCTGCTCCAGCCAGGAGGGCTGAGGTTCCTGTGAGAAGGTCGTGGCTGTGTGGACAGACGGCGTGCTGGGAACTTACCGGCCTGCACCATGCTCCCCTCACCCCGCCAGGCTCTGGGCCCCGGAAGGCTGACCCTGGAACCCACAGGTACTCCTGCCCCTTGGGTTTCTGGTTGGACTCAGCCAATGGGAAGTTCCAAAAGGAGGCAGGAGATGGTAAGAGTGAGAGGCAGGGTCCTCGTCCCCCAACCCCCTCCGTGCTGTGGCATCTGGATCGGGGAGCGCTGGGGCCCTCCCTGCAGGGGGTCCTGCCATACCCCATCTCGGACACATTAACACCCCTCTCTCCGCTCACCCCTGCAGGCCTGGGACGGGCCGTGGCTTCCTGAGGCTTCTACTCCTGGGTACCTCAGTACCCACCTTGATTCTGCGGTGGCAAGCCCCTTGATATAAACCACCCGGGAGGTGGTTTCTGGCTAGGGCCTCTGCACCCTCACGGGGGATGCCAGGGAAAAGGAGCTGAGACCGGAGTCAGGGCCTGGACTCACCTCCTGCTCTGAGAGGCCGTCGATGATCTCCGACACCTCGTGCTCGCTGCGGGCGGCTGACATGGACAGCCCACTGCCCCGCTGGCCCACCCTGCTGGGGACCAAGGGGACACACTCAGGACCAGCCGTTTGGTGGTCGGGGACACTAGCAGGCCCCTGTGGCGCAGCCCTGAGCCCACGCCCTCCCCAGAGAAGAAGTGTGGGCAGCAGGCAGCAGAGGGGCTGGCCCCACACCAGGAGTCCTGGGGAGGCGTGGAGCCCCCACCCCAACCCAGCATGGCCAAACCCTGTGACACGGGCAGCTCACTCGCTTCCTCTCTCCTAAAATACCCTGAAAAGCCCAGCCACAAAGATCTGGGTTCAAAGCCCCGCTCTGCCTCTTTGGCCCTGGGGCAAAGTGTTTCTCTCTGTGCCTCAGTTTCCTCCCCTGTCACATGAGGATTCAAAAGTGGCACCCGGCTGTCTAGAGCTGTTGGGAGGAACTTAATGAGACACGGCTTGTGAGTTCGGTTAAGGGTGAAAGCTGTTGTTATTATCACCAATGAATCGCCTGGCCGGGCAACCAAAAAAAAAATGGCCATAGAACCACAGCTGCTTGTCACCAGGCACCTCTCACACAGGGTCCACCAAGCCCTCACAGCCACTGGGGGAGGCTGGCAGCCTGGTCTCTTAGCCACATCTCTCCCCTTTGTCCCACACCGGGGATCTCAAACTCAACTGCCTTCAGGGGTCATGCAGGCCACAGAAATAGGAGTGCTTGCCCCCAAAACGTATTTAAGCTCCAAGTAAGTGTTAGGCCAAAGAGGCTCCACGGGATACATGCCAGGGTCTGGTAGGGCCCCGGCTACTGGCCTGAGAAGCTGCTGCACTGTTCTGTTCCTTCCTGGCCGGGTCACCTCTGCTGAGGATGCCTGGAGCTGACCCTGGGCCCTGACATGGGGGGCACTGGGCTCGGGCCCCGCTCACCTCTGCATGCGTTCCTGCAGCTCGCGCTGCTTGCGAATCTCGGGGAACTGCTTCTCGTAGTACTCGCGCACCTTGCTCTCCTTGGCCCGCCGCCGGGGGTTGTTCTCGATGCGCTCCACCTTCTTCTCCCAGGCCTCCATGAGCTGGTCATAGCGCTGGCAGAACTTCTGCTCCTGGGAGAGCGCGGGGGAGCACTGCAGAAGATGCTCCTGAACCTGGCACCCGCCGCCCCGCCCCTGCCCACTCACATGCAGGCAGACACACAGGCGCACGCACACACACACACTTCACACAGGCACACACACATGCAGTCACACAGACACACACACGTAGTCAGATACACACAGCCACACAGACATGTACATAGAGGCACACACACACAGTCAGATGCACACAGGCACACACACACAGAGGCACACACAAGTCACACAGGTGCACACGGACGCACACCCAAGTCACACAGGTGTACACACAAGTCACACAGGCACACACAAATGCAGTCACACAGACACACCTATACAGTCAGATACAGTCACACAGACATGCACATACAGGCAGGCACACACACATACAGTCAGATATGCACAGGCACACACAAGTCACACAGACACACATGCAGTCACACAGACACACAGTCACATACACACATGCAGTCAGACACACACATAGTCACATGGACACAGTCACACAAGTAGACAGACACACTCACACAGACACAGTCACACAGACAGATACACAGGCAGACAGACACACAGATTCACAGTCACATAGGCAGACAGAGAGTCGTATAGGTAGATATACCGAGACAGACACACACACATATATACACAGGCACATAAGTCACACAGCCAGCCAGCCAGACACACAGATGGTCACACAGGCAGACACACAGTCAGTCACGCAGGCAGGCAGACACACACATGGTCATGCAGGCAGACATATGACAGACACACACACAGTCCATCACACAGGCAGGCAGACACACACACATGGTCATCCAGGCAGACATATGACAGACACACGCACAGTCACAGGCAGACAAACTGGTGCACACACAGGGTCACACAGGCAGACATGACGGACACACAGAGTCACACACGTAGACACACAACAGACACATACATGTCACACAGGCAAATGACAGAAAGACACACACATTGTTGCATCGATATCCAGCAGACGGGGGCCCCTGAAGAAAACCCGCAGACCTCCCCTGGAGGACATGGTCACCTCCCTTCCTGGTGAACCGGCCACCCAGTCCTGGCCTCCTCTACAGAGGCCTGGTCCCAAACGGATGCCACCCGCCATATGTGGCTCAACTGAAATCACAAATCGAGTAAAATGTAAGAGTCGGTTTCTAGTTCTCCCCAGCCACACTCCCAGTGTCCAGCAGCCACATGTGGCTGGGGCTCCGGCCGCACCAGACAGCCCGGATGGAGCCCACTGCCACACCAAAGGAAGCTGCGCTGTACCGTACGGCGTGGGGGCCCGTCAGCCCCGGGGAGGGGCAGCCTCCAGAGAAAACCACATTGCAAGCAGTTCCTCATTCCCCAGCCTCACCCCAAGGACCAGCTGTGAGGACCTCAGCAGCTCCCAGAGAGGGGGCTCTGCCCTCCCTCCAGGACAAGGAAGTCCCTCTCCACATCTAACCACAGCGCTGCCTGCTGCATGTCCTTTGAGAAGAGATCCCCAATCAGCCTGGAGCATAGCTGCCTGGCTTCCACATCTCCAAGGTGACTTGAGCAAGCGGCGGGGGGCCCACCCACACAACCCCAGTTATCCACCTCCAGCAGCTGGGGATGGACAGATGGTGAGGTCTGGGAGCCTCCGCAAACACCCACTTGGCGCTTCGGCACAATCAGAAAGCCCCTCTCCGGTCCTGGAGCCCAGACACCCCCGCCCCACCCCGCCCCATAGTTCAGCTTCTGACCAAGGGCAAGCTGTGCCCTCCATCCTCCACAGCCCCGTGACCACGACGGTCCCCACAGGGTGGTCAGGCTGGTGCTGAGTGGCCCAGAACCTGACCCCATGCATGCAGGCTGTGCCAGGAACCCGCTGGAGATCGAGAGGCGGTTCTGGTGACAGACAAACACGTTCTGGGCAGTGGCTGCGGGCAGCCCCAGTGAGGGATGGGGACCGCGGGGACGGCAACATCCAGCCCATGCCACCTCGGCCCCTGTCCGAGAGGCCCCAGGCTCACGGGTGAGAAAAGCTCGCCTCAAGCCAGCGGAGGAAAGTCACGCGGTGACTGGTGCAGACCAGCGGGCAGAAACCAACAGGCCACTGGCCAGCGGGGCTTCAGCCTGTCCACGTTGACAGCAGGGTGCCGGCAAGATGGCCTGGCTCTAGCTGGGTCCCTCGTGGAGTGCGCGGGTGGCAAAGGCCCCTAGCAGTAGTGTCCCTGAGGGGACATCCAGCCACCTCCATGGCCCCAAGCACCAGGCTCTGCCTTCTGCCCAGGACAAGGAAGTCCCCCTCCAGGTCTGACCACAGTGCCGCCTGCTGTAGCCTGTGCCTCTGTCCACGGTGCTGGGTGTGCACTCGGCCTGCCTTGAACAGTGCAGGGCGGGCAGCTCCGGCCTGGCCTGGGTGGCAGGGAAGATGCTCATTGGCGTTTTTCTACAAGGGCGGACCCACTGGCCAGAGGAGGAAGCAGACCCCTTCCTCCCTTTCCTCCCTCTCTCCCCGCCTCTCTCTGTCTTACACACACACACACACACACACACACAGACACACAGACACACACACAGAGACACAGACACACAGACACACACAGACACACACACAGACACACACACATACACACACACATACACACACATACACACAGACACACACACACAGACACACAGACACACACACACACAGACACACACACACACAGACACAGACACACAGACACAGACACACACACACAGACACACACACAGACACACACACACACACACACACACACACACACACGGAAAGACTGGAGCCCCCGCCCCACCGGCTACTCTGTGGGGTGCTGGGAGCGCAAATCCGCCAAGGAGAAGGAGCAGGCCAGTCATGCCTCTGGGACCACAGACCGAGCCAGCCTCTCAGCCAACTGGGCCTCCACAGGGGCCAGCTCAGTTTCCCAGGAGATGTGGCAGGCCTGGGGGGCCGTGCTGGTGCTGAGCATCCTGTGACAGGGACAAGGCCCTGCTCTCTGGGAAGAGGTGGGTGCCAGGAACCTGCTAAGGTGTGGGGGTCCCTGGGTCTGAGGGGGGTCTGGCTCCCCATTGGGGGTGAGGCAGGCACATCGGAGTTCTTGGCCACGCCCCCCCTTCCCAGGCCTTACTGAAATCAGTGAAGTCAGGGACTTCGGCTTCTTATACCACAAGAAAGAGACCATCCCAATCGCCACCGCAGCTTCAGGGGGTGTTGAATTTGTTTCTGTCTGTCCCAAGATGGGCCGCGAAGCCACCCTGGACCCTTCTTGGAAGTCCCTGGTTTCTGTCTGACTCTTCTCTAGCTTTAAATTAAGCCGATTTCTCCCTCCACCCCCTCCACAGACCCCCCAAGGAGCCACTGGCGATCTTTAAAGAACTCAAGCCCGCCCCAATTCCACCTCCAGCCTGAGCTCCTTCCAGCAGCTGCAGCAATCCTTTTAAATGGAAATCAGATCCTCTGCTGCCCTCCCTAGAAGAGCCTGCACCCCAAGGGGGGAACCACGGTGGGTTGGGGGGGCGCTGTCAAGGAGGTGGCAAGATAGCGCTGAACTGGCAGTCGTTTTAGGTGGCAATGAGAGGATTTCCTTCCTCACAGGAGACAAAGGGGGAGTATTTATTAGGGCTGAAGCTCCGCGCCTCCGTGCCTATTTTCCAAGAGTGCAACAACAAACACGTTTATATTTGTATTATACACACAGAGCAAATATAAGGCAATGGTAACCGTGGCTGATTCTAAGTGGTGGGTATATAGACGTTCCTTGTACTCTTCTGTCAAATTTCTTAGAATAAGGACTTTGGATTCTTTACTACAAATACACGTATTAAGACTCGGTGTCCCACTGCATTCGGAATAAAACCTGAATGTTCCATCCTAGCTTGAGGGCAGAGGTTTCCAGGTGATCTGGCTCCTGCCGCTGGCCTGCCAGGTTCTGCCCCAAGCTGGTTCCTGCCTCAGGGCCTCTCTGCACCTGCTATGCCCTCTGCCTGACACCCTGACTCTCAGATCTGCACAAAGCCAGTCCTTTCTGGTCACTCCCACCTCAGCACTGAGGTCCCCAGCCCATCTCGAGAGCCTGCCCCTCTGCCCAGCTCTTCTCCCCGCATTACTGGGCTGTTCCCTGGCCTGTGTCTCCTGGGCAGCCGGCAGCCCTGCGTGGATATCTCTTAACTTGATAAACAGATTGGATGCTCGTTTCAAGAGTCTCTTGCACCAGCCCAAGTGCCCGTGGGTACCATCCAGTCAAGGAGGGGGGTCTGAGGAAGCTGGGCAAGGCACTGCTGGGCAGCCCACCCCTCCTCATCTATGAGCAGGCCTTGGGTCCCGAGGGCTGCCCACAGCTTCCCAGGCACCAGCGTCTGGCTGGAAGTGTCTCCTCCATCTAGTGCCCAGACAAGTTCGGGGCCAGGGCAGGCAGGGCCAAGGGAAGACTCTCCTCCCATACAGCACAGCCCCTCCTTCCGGAGCCAGGTGCCAGGACCTCCTGCCCCGGCTAAGCCCCTCACCTGGCCCCACGTGCCCACACACCTGCCCAGGACGCCATGCCTGCCTGGGGTCCCCCTCCCCAGGCACTGCTCAGTTCTGCCGTGTAGCCACTCACCACACCACCATACCCCACACACCCTCCTGGGCTCTCTTGGAACTGCCCCTTGGGGGTTCAGAGCATGGGCTCAGGAACCAGGTAGTCTGGATTCAAATCTCAGCTCCACCACTTCCCAGCTGTGTGACCTACGGCAAGTTACTTAACCTCTCTGTGCCTCGATTTCTTCATCTGAAACATGTGGCTGACCAAGCTCCCACCTCACAGGACTAAATGCCCTAATGTATGGAGAGCACTCAGAAGAGTGCCCGGAACACAACAGGCACCGGAAGGGCAGGGTGTGCGGGCATCCTCCTCGTCCTTACGCACGATCTGTCCCTGCAGCCTGCAGGTCTGAGGACAGGGCCTGTGTCACACTGACTGCGAGCCTCGCACACAGTAGGTACTCCGTGACTGCTGGCGCCCAGACCCCGAAGGCATTGGATCAACTAACACCCTCGGTGTCCCACGCACTGTTCTGTCCCAGCCCATTTCCGTTCAAGCAGCATTTAGTCATCACCTACTGTGTACCATAGACCTACAGGCACCAGGCATGACAGAGCCACTGCTGTGCCCTGGAGGGCCTCTCTGGAGGCTGGTGCCCAGCAGATCTCACCCCAGAAAGGACACAGGGAGTTGCCTCATAGGCCCCACCCCAACACAGCGGAGGGAGGGCGGAGGTGGGGCAGGGGGCTGCAGGTACAAGGGGAGCCCCTCCACCCTCCAGCAAGGCTAGTTCCCAGCCCTTGTCGCTTCTCCTATCCAAGAATCCCAAGGCAGTAGTCCCCATCCAGGTCGCCTCTTCCCCAGGTGGGGACCTTCTCAGGGTCTCCCCAGCCTTATCCCATTCCCCGTGTCCTAGCAGCCCCGTGGCTTGGGTGGACTCAACGACATCATCCTCAACTCTACAGAAGGTCCCATGAGCCAAAACCAGGCGGCCTCACTCCATCTCCCCGGCATCAGCCACTGGTTCACAGGACCCCGGTCCTCTCCTGGCCTAATCAGAGCATCTGTGAGACCGTCAGAGAAAGGATAGCTCTCTCTGGCTCCCAGCTGCTATGGGAATTCAGGTTCAGTTTGTCAATGTTCTAACACACAGAGTTGAAAAAACTGCAAAGAAATGAAGGGGTCAGGTGTGGTGGCTCACGCCTGTAATCCTAGCACTTTGGGAGGCTGAGGCGGGTGCATCACCTGAGGTCAGGAGTTCAAGACCAGCCTGGCCAACACAGTGAAACCCTCTCTACTAAAAATACAAAAATGAGCTGGGCATGGTGGTGGGCACCTGTAATCCCAGCTACTTGGGAGGCTGAGGCAAGAGAATTGCTTGAACCCAAGAGGCAGAGGCTAGAGTAAGTAAGTAGAGATCCTGATACTGCACTCCAACCTGGGTGACAGAGTGAAACTCAATCTCAAAAACAAATAAATGAAATGAAATGAAATGAAATGAAATGAAGTGAAGTGAAATGAAATGAAATGAAAACAAGACTTGAGTTGAAAGACTATTCCTGCCATCCACCCCCAACAGACGTTTCCAGCTACACCCATTCCTTTCCTGTTGAAGCCCATCTGAGTCCACGCTTCTTTCCCTGACAACTGGGAGAATAGTCGACCTTGATCTCCTCTGGGGAATGGGTGATGTCCACAGCCGCCCTAAACCACCACCACGTGCCTCTGGCACACCCAGCCTCCCTGCCGTGGGCTGAGATGCACAGCCTACAGTGAGAAGCAGGAATCAGCACCCTTCTCTGTTTGAATGAGGCCACTGGCCACAAACGCAGGCTCAGGGAAAGGGGGCTCAATGCTTGTCCACTGTGTCAGTTTCTCTGAGCCTGGACCTGGGCCCGGTGCGCCAGGAAAGGCTCATTTGTAAAGGTGCGCCCTGCGGCCCGTGCTGCCCGGCACACAGCCCACCCTGATCCTCCACCTCTCTCCAAAACCTCTCTTTCTGCCTGAAAAGCCCAGGACAGGTCCCATGACCAGGGTTTAGCAACTAATTTTCCAGGCCAACATTTTGCTTTCTTCCCTTCCAGGCTGGAAGAGGGGCCATAGGGCCTCCCACCCCTACCCACCCTGAGGCCTTCTGGAAGCAGCTATTGTCTTTCCTCCTTTCCTGGCCGGCCTTGGCTTTTCCACCGCAGCCTGGACGCTCAGGGAGGAGACAGCTGTGGAACCGAGAGGGCCCCGCAGGTGCGGCCCCCTGTGCGCTCGATTCTCCCCGGATCTCAAGGAAACCTGATGGGGGCCACGGTGTGGACTTACCCATTGTTTCCGAGCGTGATTCCTCCTCTTGAAGTACAAGATTAGCTTCTTCCGCATCGCCTGGTTTCTGTGCAGGAGGGAAGCGGCAGACAGGTCAGCCTGGCCGGATTCAGGCGCTGCACCCCGCGCCATCCTGTTTGCTGAGAATAAGCCCTGAATTTGCCCCGTTACTGGTTCTCAGGGAGATAAGACCCCAGAGTACTGTGTCCCCAGAGAGACCTGTAAGCTGCCAATGTGCGTCCTCACTCCCCCGCACGCGAGGCAGCCCCCGCCAACATTTAGGTTGAGCCCGGTGTGCAGACAAGAGGGTTCCCAGAGCCGAGGGGCCTGTGGCTTCCCGCCCCTGCCCACATGCACCCCAGCAGCCACACCTGCCCATGGAAAGATGGCTACAGAGAAACAGCCACAGCCTCCAACTAGGAATACAGGCCACGGAGCCTGAGACCCCGAGACCTGCTGCCGCCTACAGACCGGGTGTCAGGGTGTGGCCTGCACGGCCCCAGGGTTGACTCCAACCAGGTGCAGTGCACAGCCCTCCAGCACACCCAGTCCTGCCGTGGTGGGAGGGACACAAGCAGGGTGGGGCAGCTGCTGGGGCCACCAGGCATGGACTTCAGGTTTCAAAACCCCCAGGGGGGTCTCAGACTTCAGGCCAGGGGCCATGGGGGCTCAACCAAGCAGGTTACACACCCCACTGCAGGTTCCAAGGGAAGCAGGCATGTCCTGGGAGACGGGAGGTTC